TTTATCGAGCGGAACATATGTGCTTTCCCCATATCCTGTACCTTCAGGGGCGGAGCCAAGATTCGATATCTACCCGGGCTAAATTTATTTTTTTTATAAAAACCCGCATGCCTTATAAATAAATTTTTAGAGTGACCAACTAAAAACTAAATTAGTCAAAAAAAAAACTTATGAAACAAACTTTATAAATTATACTTAACAAACTTTAAGTGTGACCAACGTACTAAACACTAAATGAGTCCAAAATAAAAGAGAAATTACTTTATATACATTCAGTACTAATTATATTTAATGTGAAGTATATAAATTGGAAAATGAACAAAATAAGCAAAATTTAGTATCTAACATAAACAAAAGAACTTTCAAACATAAATGGAATATATAATTAGAATATTAATTATTGTATAAAATTACATATTAAAGGTGAACTACGTGCAAAATATAAACTAATGGAAACAAACATAAATCTTATTATAAGGAGACTGAATATGTACCTTTTAATAAATATCCTTAATAAATAACTTAGACTTTATGAATAATGGCCTATTCTTCTAATTAAAATTTAGTTAGTTATTAAGCACATAACCCACTTAATGACCAACAAAGAAAAAAAAAAAAGTAAAACATGTTGGTTTTTCATATGTCATCGGGCTAAATTTTGTTTTTCTAGAAAGCAAGAATATTATATACTATTCTTCTATTAAATGATAATTGAGGGGCAGCCGGGCTACAGCCCAGGCTCACTTGTAAGTGCCTCCGCCCCTGTGTACCTTCATGGGAGAAACAATCTTGATATACCAATCTACGTTCACAAATTATCTGGAAAAAAGTAAATTTGTATTTTCCAACAAATGTTAAAACCATTTTTAGAAATTTGAAAAGTATAGTGCTCATCAAATAATATGCATGTCATGGTTATTGCTAATAGAGTATGAGGGCAAGTAATAGGCTATTTACAATGATAGTATTTTACCTTATTTTCTCAACCGTCGTGACATCTGTATTTATGGTAGTCTTTCTTCCATGTGGTCATGGCCTGTATACAAATTATATTATTAAAGTTTAGATAATATTAATAAGTTATAATATATTAATATCATAGTATAAATGAAAACCAATTATACCTGAACGTATTACTTGTCTGTACACCACATTTTTAGTTCTTGTATTTTCTTCTGAACTCGTGTTGGGCGGTTTTATTAAAACTTTCGTCGTATGCATCGACGTTCCCCTAGATAGTGCGACATACAATTGACCGTGCGAGAACACTGATTGAGGCAAATAATTTCCAACATTTGGGATTGTTTGTCGTTGTGCTTTATTAACATTATTTCCTTCAACCCATATTGCTGCGACTTGATCAGTTGTAGGACAATTATACACGCGCTGGTCTAATTTTGCATCCTTTGAGATATGCAGTCGAACTTCATCCATTGATGGATAGTCCTTCAATCTTCTAAAAACTTTTGCATATGGGTTTATATCTAAAACATTAATGAGTTTGTTAACCGTAGATTTAGATAAAGAGGAGTTTGGAAATATGCCCATCCTATTCTCAACCTCTCGTTCTGTTTCCACAAAGTACAATTGAAAATATCCAGGGCCATCTTCTTTAGGCAATAAGCTAGGAAGATCATGATACACTACTCCTTGAGCTCGAAAAGTATAGACTCCTTGTCTTGCAGATGCAAGTTCTTTATCTAATTTGACCCCTAATGATGTAAAAGAGAACATACTGTTAAATAGACGAATGTTTATTCGAAATTGTTTTCCCTCTTCTGTCTGTGAAGTGAACAATTCATATAGTTCATCAGGCACTTCAATAGGAGCAAGTTTGACTTTTCCATTATCACAACAAAATGTTGGACACTCGTAATGAAATTTCATTGCACCGCAATGTATGCAATTGGGCATTTTTTCCAACTCATGTATCGCTAAACATACATTCCCTTTGATAATTGAACCTAAAAAATGACAAATACCAATTATTTATTAAATAAGATAAATGAATGAAATGCCAAATTTATTTTTTCTATGTACAATAATAATAGAGTACTAATAATATATTCTAGTAAATCACATTAAGTACACGGAATTTTAATAGTTATATTTATGGGTGAATCAAACATAATGACAAATATACAACAAACACATTATTTATATTTTTATTTGTACAAAAGTAAATAATTGACACCATTACATCTCTAACTGCATGAAATATGGAATACTTAAATGCATTATGACAGTCTAACATAAAAATAGAGAAACAACAAAAACAACAAATTCTTGAAGTATAAAAGAAACATATAGTACTCATTTAGATCTAACAAAATATGTATATATTTTGTATTAGAGGATTAGATATTTCTAACCTTTAGGTCCAGATGAAACTTCATCGGTATCAAGACATGCAACACCCATATTTTGACCCTTGCGATGTTTATTTTTTTTAACACAATACACTTGCTTCTGATAAGCATCTAAATCGTTGTATTTTCTTTTCATCTTAGCCGCATTTCGACGTCCATATACATCCTTCACTGTGATAAAAATGAATAAAAATGTTAAAAAAAGATATATATCATGCAAAATAAATAGTATGATGAAAATGTTTACCATTAATTTCTTTATGGTGTATAACTTGCATAAATAATTTAATATATTTTTTTTATTAGTTAAATAAATTATTATATGATATAATAGATGAAACAAATGCATATAAATATGTGTATATAATTATATATATATATATATATATATTAATTACCTGTTGACAAATCAACTGTGGATGATCTTCGACTCATGCTACAATTTGATAAGATCCTTTAAAAACTAAATCATTGTGCCAAAGAACAATAAATTTAATTAAAAACAAAAAATAAAATCTAAAATTAGCAAGAGAAGTGGGCGATGATAATTTGTCGGACATCGGGGTATAACAGTATTTGTCACAAAAATGGACAACAAATGGAATGACTTTTAGTATTATAAAATTTTATAAAATTATTCTAATCTTATTTTAAATAAATAAAAGAAATAAAAAAGCTGAACAAAACATTACTCTTAAGAATTTGCAACATTACTCTTACCTTCACCACAGGAAGCTTTCCTAGTACGAATATGAAGAACCTTACTGTACAAAAAGCTGCACAAGCATATAAAACCACTCATTTAGTATTATAAACATGTGAATCTGCAGTTAGGGGGATACACTTCTTAAGCTTTATAAAAATTTATTAATGACATTACAAACTACAAAGCATTCCCTGGATTTCCTTATTTTTATTTTTTTAGGTTGGAGCAGCGCAAGTTTATGGTATGAACAGAGGAGAAAGTGACTTATTCTATTCGAACCAGACCAAGGGAAGGAGTCACACTGTTAACCGAACCAAAGTTGCCCAACAAAAATAAAAGTTGCCTAACAAAAATAAAAGTTGCCTAACTGATTGGTCTGTGTACTATAAGTATTGACAAACCAAGACAACACACCAGGGAAGTAACTTATATCGTAAATCGGGCATAGAATCCACATTCCATCATGTAAACGCCGTATAATCCACGCCGAGTAAGACAACTAACGTATACTCGATTATGGCAACACTGATCAGCTGTGAAGTCATCAATCACTATAAAAATCAGGACTCCGCCGGTGATAACGGACTCATAACGAAGCCAGTCTGTAATTGCCATTTGCTAAGCTTATTACTCTCAAATCCCTTCACATTTCAATGAGTCTACCACATCCATGAACGATATAGCATTTGTTAAATAAGCTGAAAACGTGAATGCAGATCGGGTACAAAAGT